ATATAAATATGCCCAATTCAGAAACATACAAGTATAATTGATTCATGAATTGAATATACATATGATCATGTAAATCATGAATACATAAAAATATGAGTATTTTATGAATACAAATTAATTTATGAATACGCAAATATGATTACTGTATGAGTACATAAACACGAATAATTCACAAACATATAACCACGACGAATCCAGTAATTACATATTATATATACAAGAACTTGTTTGAACAGATTCAATAATTTTATTTAATTATGCGTACTGTACTGTGTAAAACGAATACCCAGATCGATGGACAATGCGTCGGTATAATCGACTAGCATAAGTCAACTATTTATACAGACTGAAGCTCTAGTTTTGGCGACAGGACGTCGCGAGATATAACGGACGGCCCCGATGCGCCTCGATGTCGCGTCAAAGCGTGACGTCCTTATCAATAGGTGAAAGATGCAGTCGCGGGGATCTCGTTAAAATGACGTCGACGTCGTCGGCGTCGGCGGCGGCGAGACCGGCAATTAGCGATTTTCCGGCTGTACGACCTCGTTGTTTTAAGTAGACCGTTAGACCTCTTACGAACGACGTGCTTTCGATCGGAAAACGAGGACAAAGGAGTAGCCTGCAGGAGGCTCGATATCCTGATGATTAGATATAGTCCGTGGAAGGGATCCTGTGCGAATAATATATTTTGGTACGATTAGCTCCTTTCAGTTTGGTTTTTCCAAACGAAGGAGAAGGTTTACATTGGAAAACGAGGACGAAGGAGTAGGCTGCAGGGAGCTCGATATCCTGATATTAGATATAGTCTGTGGGAGAGATCATGTGTGAATAATATATTTTTTACAAATACCTCCTCCCAGTTTGGTTTTTCCAAACTGAACAGACCAAAAACTCTTGACGATGATGAGTCAACCCTTTCGACCTTAGCAGATCATATATGTCTCAGTGATTATTTCTGGTTGTTCAGATTACAATTGAGACTCACAGAAACATACGTTAAAAAGAATGAACATCATTTGTTCTTAGACAAATTGTCCCTCCTTATCTCGCTGCAGCCTTTGATTTATAACCAACCCCAGTTTCATACAATTAGTTTCTAGAACTGAAACGAATAGAATTCAAATAGAAAGCAGCTAGATCGAAAGAATTGGCTAAGTTCAACCACAGTATTTTCAATAAGTAATAATTAAGACGACTCTTAAACCCAACCCTTCATTTTCAATCAAACAAACAACATTACTGAATTTCTCCTGGTGCGTTGTTTAACCCTCTACAGGCTCATGTAATTTTCAGGTCACGTGCTAATATATCGACATTTTACCAAACAATTTTAATTTCACAACGTGAAAGCATCATCAACTCATAATATCAGGGTAAATGCAAGTTGTCTCTCTAGAAAAAATAAATTCGACCCGTAAAGTGTTAACTGACATCGAGAAGCAATGTTTCTGCCATAAGAAGTAAATCAACCATCGCTTCATAGTAATTGGTCCATCCGTTAAAAAATTCTACGTGAACATACACAAAAAAGAATAATTCTAATACAATACTGTCCCGAACAAAACAGTCCATCCACATCCAGTGTAATCCTCGTCTAAAAAGGGGTTTCACTAATTACAGTCGGCTTAAGTTGTAAAATTCAGCCTCTGGCCGATATCACGACCGCAAGATCCCTTCCAGTGGCTGTACATATCCGCGGGGGAATGTGGGTCAGCCCTTATCGCTGCCAAGCGGCGTGCCAACCCTCGAAATAACGGCGTGCCACACCCCTTTTCGCCTGGAACGTCCACCGATCGACTCCCACAGGGGTGGGCTCGTCATCGATAAACCGTGATCGAGCACTGACCGCAAATCATTTCGGCCCCATTTCATTCAACGATCACGCCTCGATGGTTACCATGGTGACATTCGCGCAGGACACCCCTCGAAACGGTTCGGAAAAAATGTTATTGCAAAAAGGCTCTCGTAGAGCTTCTTGCGTTTTCGCGCGTTTCACCATCGATCATGTGCGACTGGGGGTGGTTTTATCTCGAAGCCGATGAGTGTTCTCGAAAAACAAAGGAATCTTTTCTTTCTCTATCTTTCTCTCCCTTTTGTATACATTTTTATATCATTTTGTTGATATCAGGCTAGGCTCGTATTTTAGAACGTACCTGAAATTGTCTCGAAATTTTTATTTAATATATATTTAATTGTATGTACATATTTAAGATTGATTATCTATATTTATTTATGAATTAAAATTATACGGCACACGTATTATAATACGATTCTAAGAAATCAATGATTGGTTAATATACATGATAGATAAGATTTTATGAAATGATATATAATAAATTTATAATATCGAAATGAATTGAAAAATAGTTTAGAACATACCTAAAATATTCTCAAAATTAAACAAGCATTAGATAAATTCTTTCGAGAAAAATATTTAATACTTGGCCTTGTAATGTGGTTTCCCTTCTCAAAATGTATAAATAAGTGGCTGTCAATTTGTAAGAGTGAACAACGTTTAAAATGTTCATCTAAAATTAATAACAAAACAGCGTAGAAACTGCGATGAGAATAGCCAGGCAGCTGTCGTGGTTCGCGAATCGAAATAAAGAGAAGAATAAAAGCGTAGCACGCTTATGTATGACGCAAAGGGTTGAAGAGCCTCTATTATTGTAAAGCAGCGGACGATGAGCCCAGAGATTGCGCTCTGGAGGGATGCGCGCATCCCTCCTCGCGTTTCCTCTCTTTCTTCTTCATCCCCTACGCTACCGGCATCTCTTTTCCCGCGTTCAGCCGTTTCCACCCACTCTCTTTCCCTCGAATTTCGCCAACGAAATTGCATTTTCCCTCGCAGCTTCGCGGTTCACCGATCGAAACGATGGCAGGTGTGTGTTCTGGATCGCACAGACCACTACACACTGCTAGTTTTGGCAATCTAGCTTTGCTTAATTAATAACATCGTAATTTTCAGGAAATTAAATCCTTCGGAATAGTTTCATTCCATAGAATTAATATCGCAGAAATTTTCTAAAATTTGTATGCTTTGCGAAGATTTAATACCGCACAGGATGGAACGGTCTCTTATCCTGTTTGGCAAACTAGCTTTAGTAAACTACATGGTAAAATCGTAATTTTCCAAAAATTAAATCCTTTCGAGTGATTTATGTATTCCATGAATTTTAATGTACGAATATTTTAAATTTAAATTTAAGTGTCCTATTGTGATCTTCGGGAATAAAATAAACACATTAATGTTTATTTACTAGTGGATTAATGGCGACCATGAGATTACCCTTTGAAATACCCAAAATGGTTTGTAATTGGTCTAAAAGAAAAAGTCGTGCACTGAGAATCTCGATTGATTGCGATATTATTAAGTAAAAGAAATGATTGAAAAATCTTTAAAACTGAAGAAATGATGTGTAAGGCAAGCGAGAGAAACATCGTCATACGATTGCTATAACCACCCAAGAATGACGTCTTCGCTAAGTACACCTGAGTATTTCCATTTAAAAGTTCAACCTTTTTAGCTGCGTTATCTGCTCTATCCTACTAAATAATAATAAATATTCACCAAAGAAAGCCTTACAATTAAATAATTAACTATATTGCCTCCCACAATTTCAAACGTACTCCACATATTCGACACACTATATTTTTAATAAACGACTCAATCTCCATGACCACTAATTACTTCAATAACCAATAGTAATATCCTTTTAAAGTACAAAATAAAATTCACGCGATGAAGGGTAAAGGTCCCATTGGCTATAAAAGATTCCGTTAAATTTCTACGATTCCCGAACAGGATCCTCGGCTGTTATGGCGCTTAATACTTTATTTGCACGTTTCCACGAACGCAGAGGGACGATCAAACGTTTAGAATACGGCTTACGAGTGGACCGCGGTTACAAAATCGCTAATGAGCATCCGTCGTCCGTATATTTGATTTTGTAATGGCCGCAGCAATGTACGCAAGCATTCGAGTCGGTATGCATTTGGTCGAAGATCAAGGTTAAGTGGAGACATCATTTTTAACCACGACGAGGTAGCTAGCGGTTGATTGTAATTAATGTAAGGCTCGGTAATGATCTTTATCGTCACATCTTGAGTGGCAATTAACTCCCAAATGAACGTGTGTATTTTGGAGAATATGGCAGAGTCAATACACTTTTACTTGAATAATTTCTTCGACCATCTATTACATAAATTTTAACTTATTTTAAATTCTATATCTATTTTCTATTTACCATTAATTAATCTTTAGACGAATCTATATATCTAAAAGAGTAAGCTAACACCATTATTAATAATACATTTCTACTTGAACAATTTCTTTGACCCTCCATTGCATGAATTTTAATTTACTTTAAAGTTCAATATTAATCCAGCTAATTAGTCCACGAAATATTTACGTAAACTTCGAAAAACATTTCCACAATCGACGATAAACACACAATGCAATCAAAGTGCCCTGAACATCCCGGTAATAAAACCTGTCTCTAAAAATACCGTGAAAAAGTGGAAGCAATTAAATCAAACTTATCGTCGAGGTCTACAAACGAGCACCCTCGACGCTGGGTTAGTTAAGCAAAAAGCTGGTAATTAGTTAAACAGAGGCGTCGACTCCTCACGAGCGAACAGAGGATGTATCCCAACTTAGTGGTAATTAATTGCTCTTTGATCTTTTTTTTTTGCGCAGGTGGTGACTCCGCAGAAATGCGGCGACGTGTACCTTTACGATCTTCCGGCGAGTCGGGGGAGTCCTGCGCCGCCATCGAGACACGATTCACCCTTGAATTCCAACAACGACCAGTTACACAACACAGGTACGCGACAACCCTTCGTTCGACCCTCCGTATCCCCCGGTATTTACAAGGGAAGATCCGTATTGAGAGGGTAACTCTTTTTTTTGCCAGTTTCGAGCCAATTTTCATCGATTTGATAGAAATTTGCAAGTGTCTTGATCAATTTGTTTCAAAGTTACATGTTACATTATGTAATTCTTTTACTCTTAACAGTTTCAAGGTAATGCAATTTTCATCATTTTTTTGCGGTGAATGCAATCGATATACACTTTTGATGTTTAGTACGTCTCTTTGTGTACCTATATGTGAGATTTTGTTAAATTTACAACAGCCTTGGTCAATTTGTTTCGAAGTTACGCATAATATTATTAAATATAATATTACGTAACTCTTTTACTTTTGCCAGTTTTGAGCCACTATTTATGATCCTTTTTGCGGTCGAAGTAGTTGACATAAACTTCTGAAATTTGGTACACGTGATTGCGTATGTGTATATAGGATTTTGTTACATTTGCAACTCGCCTGGTCAATGTTTGAAGTTACGTGTACAGTATTACTGAACACAGTATTAACTTGTTTACTTTCACTATTTTCGAGGCAATGTTTATGAATTGTAACTCCGTTAATTTAACATATTTTTAAATACAAAAATTACGACGCATGCACCAAGGAACATTCTTCCAAATGCTCTAAAACTTATTAACAAAAAGTTTCCCATTTGTCCCCGAAAAATTCATAAATATGCTCCCTTTTTCGAACCATCCTAGGTAAGCCTCCTCCCTCAACGTGAAAGTGAGCACTACGACTAATAACACCATAGGAAAACTCTATTATAATTGCTCTCCCTGTGGTGTCACTAGTTCGTCTGCTCGCCGTGCGCTGAAATATTCTTGCATTAAAGAAAGATTACCCACCAGATCCAGACATATACATTCATCCCCTAAAAATCATATACACGGTCTGTCTAAAAAGAAACCGAACTTTTGCTCTAAAATTTTGTCTAATCGCGCCATCTAGTTACAGATAATAAAAGACGATAGGTTAAACGTTAATTGTTAACCGTGCACAGTAACATTTGAATCGATAGTTCACATTCCGTTGTGTGACTTGAAATATAACGAACGTTTTGTGACGCTTGTTGGAACACCGCTAATGGAGTAACGCGCTAATATTAAGTTCTGCGTTAAATTGAAAAAGTCTTTTACCGAAACGCTTACGTTATTAACACGTTGACTGCCAGACAAATATTCTTGAAAATTTCTGATACAATTAAATATTATTTAGAATATTGAAGACTACATAATCAAACGTTTATCGTGGTATTTATTTTTGTAACTTCATCAAAATTCATGAATTTCGTTCAAATTCATTTCCTTTCATACTTGGCTTTCAAAATTAATTTTTTTACTTCTTCAGTGAAAAGCACTGTCACCCATATATGGGTGACGTGGCGATCAACGTGTTAAAACAAGTGTATGGGGATGAATGCCTAAGTCACTAAGTACACAAATTTACGAGTGGTTCACTCAATTCAAACAATCGAGAGTCCATTGAAGACGAAGTTGGATGTTGCTGCACGTCAATTTTTGGCTAAAAAAGGCATTGTTACCTTGGATCATCCACCCTACTCTTTTCTTTTCCCAAAATTGAAAATTCCAATGAACGGGACATATTACAGCAACATTTCCGAAATTCAGGCCGCTGTAACCGCCGTACTAAACGGGCTACCAAAACAGTAGCTGCAAAGGTCCTTCGAAATGTTAATTACGCGGTATACAAGCTGTATTGACGCAGAGGGAGATTATTTTAAGCGAATAAACGCGTGTGTAAAAACTTTACTTGTACTTTTTTCTTTTTATAGCAAAAGTTCGGTTTATTTTTAGACAGACCGTGTATAATCCTAAATACATTATAACGTACATATAATATAATCCTAAATAATTTACACACCCCTAACGTCACGCACAGAGGTCACCACTAACCATTTACCGTCACCAAATCCCACTGGAGACAGTAGTTCACCTTTCATCGATTCAAGTTTCCTAGTAAGCGAAAAATCTTTTCCTTCGGACGTTGTCGACGCGCCATGTCCTAACATTTCCCCACGGATTCCTGTTCAGGACGTTACACGACGGGCACCAGAAGTTCGGTGGACAACGGCGGCGACGTGAGCGAGTGCTACGACGTCCCGCCACGAGCTGTGCCCGTGATACCATCGCCAGCGAGCAGTCCGAGTCCTGCGCCCTCGTGCTACGACATCCCCAGGCAACCCACCTCCTGCACGCCTAACTCAAATTGCTCTGGTGGCTCTGGTGTTACGCCTCTCGATTGCTACGACGTGCCCAGACAGTTGCAGCCCCTCACGCCTAGCAGCTCTGCGTCCAGCCTCACAAACGACGGCTCCCTCAGCGGATCGAACAGGTACGTTCATCCAATTTACCATTCAAAATTTGGGATTCCTCTATAACTCCTATTACAATGGGTGTAGAAAATGTTCGTACATCGATCAATTTCCAAAAAAAAAAAAAAAAAATCTATGTAAAATTGTAATTTATTAACTTCTTTTTTATAAGCAATGACATTCTACATATTCTCGGAAATCTCTGGAATAGATAGATTCAAAGCCGGCGCAAGGCAGGTTCAGCGCGTCTACGCGGTCTACGAAAATTACTGAATTAAAATGCACCGTTTTTTATTAACTTTTTACAGACTAATGATACCATGGAAGCAATTTTTGCTGAGATCCAAGACATTTTTTTAGTAGCGATGATTAAATTGAAAGGAGTGACAAAAATCATCAAAGTATTATTATTATTATTTAATATTCATCTTATAAAAAATATATAACATTTGTAAATAAATAATTCCTCGTTGTAAAATTGAAGTGTAGGATTTGAATGTGAATTTAGGCCCCCGCAAAATTTTTTAGGCCCCGCAAAATATCTATCTTAGAGACTTCCGAGAATATGTGAAATATCATTGATTATAAAAAAACAAGTTAAGTATCTACAATTTAAAACAAAAGTGAATCGGAAAATTGATCGGTGTACGAATACATTCTACACCCACTGTATTTTCGCGCGATCTGGAGAAAATTTTTGTTTGGTTGCTGTTTGTGTTATGGTGGAGAGTGTAGATTACGTTATTTGCTGAAATATTAACTGCGATTGTATTTAAATTTGTTATTTACGTTAGAAGGTCAACAGTTTCCATTATTGCAATTTTTAGTGGGAGTGTTTAGAAATTTGATGGTCAGGCATGTGGTCGATTGAATTCATTAATTAATATTTGGTGAATTCGATAATAAATGAATTCAATAAATGAATTCAATAATAGGTAGAATATTAAATGAAATAAATTGATTGAACTGTTGAATCATTTAATTGTTCGATTACTCCATCATTCGATTATTCAATTGTTGAATTTTTTAATTATCGAATTATTGAATAAATTCAGTTAAACTCATTAAATAATTCATTTATTCAAGTTATTCGTTTCATCGTCAAATTCATTATATAATAAACAATCAACTCGATCGAACGAATCAGACGATGCGTTGTTAAATAAATTCATGAATCATTCACTGCGTTAAATTAAATGCATTAAATAATCCATTAAATTGAGACACTGAAATATGAATGACGCCATTGTCTCTCCTGAAACTCATAATTAAATTAATCAAAATTTTACTATTTACCATTAAAAGCTTAAATTGAGAAGAAGAAAAAAAACAAGAATAATACTCTTCCACGGTTTTCCTTAATTTCTGGCCGAAGAAATGGCTTCCTACTTAATTTTACTACAAATTACAGCGTCCCCTGTATAAATGAAACGTCCAATGAAAATGGTACCTATTACACTATACCTACACGCAATTAACCTTTTATCCCTGTAATTCGACCTGCACGAATAAATCGTTTGGAAACATAATCTTCTAAATGTCTTGGGTGCATTTCTTTGATCCTTTAATCCTGCAAGGTTTTAAATTGGCGAGCGTTCAAATTGGATAACGAGATAATGATAGCGCGAGAATATTCCATTTAAACGAAACGATACATTACTAGATGTTATCGGTTTTAATGATTGAAACGAGTTAATGACAAGTCACGCAAAAAGCGATACGATTCGCGACGCGGAACACGAACGAACGGTTGATACAATTTTTAGTTGAAACGACGGCGCTTTAATTAAATTGCCGAATCCGTGAAAGCGAATTCGACCATTTTCCGTTCGTAAAGATATGTTTAATTCAATACGTGCTCGCAATTTCGCGATCCGTATGATTTTGTTGTTTTTTTCTTTGTTGGCTTTTCTTGTTAATAATGCACTGAACATTAAAGAAAGTCACAGTATAATATAGGGAAAAATGATTTCTAATGGAAAGGTATTTTAACTTTTAAACAATTTTGTGTAGTATATATTAAACAGTTGCTATATTATTAGTGATGCTTGTTAATTATTGTGGTGCAACTTGATTTTTACCATTTTATTGCAAATTGTCACTTGTAGGGAACGTATAACAGTTTTCGCATTTTTCTTGGCTGCTTTTAAATATCAAAAAACAATTGTTCAAGAGTATCTAACAACGATAGGAACTAAATATTAGGTAATAGAAATTCCGCTCTTTAATTTGAATTTTATTTAAAATTGTTATGACAGTTTATTCCATTCAGTGATTTATTTGTTATTTCAACTCAATGAGATAATTATTCGAAGAAGCTTTAATTTATTCAATGCAAAATATGATATGTAATTTATATAATAGTTGTTCATCTTTTATTATCTCCGATTTTCATCTAAATAAAAATTTTTCTCGTCGCCACTATAATCCTGTGTCCCATCTTAAGAGAATCTTTATGCTGAGGAGTTTTCAGAGCTTTTCTCTATTTTTCGCGGACGTTTCCGTTGCTGTCGCGACCAGCGAAATTTAAAGGGGTAATCTAAGAGTATTTAAAGCATCAACATTGAGTACGTTGAACCGTGTGTACATTTGCTAAGGTAACGAGACGCCACAGCTGCTAAGGAAGAGATTTATTTCTAGAAGCTCGAGCTTAAATACCAGACTAGTGCCAAGCGGTCATTCCTACCGCGCTTTCCGAGAAATTGCTTCCGTTTAACCATTTTGAAAAGAATGACTCCATGATTTCACGATTTTGTCGTAGTACTCCAGCAAATGAAAATAAGGGACACAGGTTAAAATATTAATTCTGTGCCTTTAAATACAATCGTTTACAACTATTTTGTTACTTTAAACCGCCAACCTTCTAACTTATTCGATGACAACTTACTGCGGGAAGATTCAAGCTTGTATGGCTTTATAAATCAATTTCTCTATAAATAAATGGTAAGTATACCTTGGAAAGGCACAGAATTAATTTCTACACCTGATATTTTCATTTCCAAATAACTGTGTCGAAAATAACGATCTGAAATAAATCATTTCAAATAGATATTTCTCATTTTCATCTCAATTTTATATATGTGTACATAGCGAATATTCTGTAATATACCAATATATTATTTATTATACTACGTTTTATTCAAATTTTTCGTGCACATTTTGGATATTTTTCATGCATATTTTGCATATGCATGTTACATATTTATCGTGCATAAACTTCCCCAGTCTGGTTATTAATAAAACGAAATAAACTTTTGCGACAACCTACTAGATTTTCCTTCTCCGTGAAACCTAATGGTGACTGAGAGTCACTTCTCGAGCGCAAAGGGTTAAAATTTACCCAGATCTATCCAAACTCTAATTTAATTAATAAATAACATCGTCGTTTCAGATCTAGCCTCGCTGCTCCCGATTACGATGTACCTCGATCGCGTCTTCCAGCGTCCTCGTTACCGTCCCGGCACAACACGCCCGTGCCTAAAACGCCAACGCCTCCACCCCCGTCGCAAACCCAGCAGATCTACGACGTTCCAGCCAACAAGGAGCTTCCACTGGAGCTGGACTCCGCGTTGGAAGGCCTGCAAAGGCTGCAGACCGAGGCTTCGGCGGCGATAGCCAGGTTACTCGGCTTCGTCAGCCCCGGTTGGAGAACGCCTCAGCGATTAGACGCGACCCTGATGGATCTTAGACTCGCAGCCCTTAGGCTCAGAACCTCCCTCCACGATCTAGCTGAATTCGCCGAGGGTAAGAGATCTAGCTTCATTCAGGCCGAACGCACACGGGTGCAACCGATTTGAAATTAGCGTCGCAAACCGTTTGCGCTCTTTGTTTTACCTACTCCACTATCTTCGTTTTGCCTACGTAGATCCACGGTCGCATGCAACTAGTTTCAGAGTGGTTTGAAACTGATCAGTTGCGCCCCGTATGCGATCGGCCTTACTTTCGTGGAGAGTGAACAGTCTCTTCTTGATCTTTTTCTATGATGCTTCCACAAAAGATGACAAAAGTGAAAAAACAATGAAGGAAGCGAAGAGTTAGTAGTAGTAGTAAGAAATGACAAATAAAAAGAAGGAATAATAAGAAAAAGGAAACGTTATACCTTGTGAAAACAATAAAGGGAGCGAAGAGTTAGTAGCTCTCGGTTAACCACTGTAAATATAACACGCACGCCACAGTGATGCCACCGGACGGCATAGTGTTGATACAATAAAGTCTCTTTAAATGCACAAATTTCTCTACGATAAATGCACAAAAACCATAAATGTGGTGATCAACGTGTTAAAGGTGAAGGAGATCTGCTGCTGAATAGACTCCTCGATTTTTTGCGCAGGCACTCTAGGAAATGCGGGCAAGGCACCCGACAAGGGGTTGGCCTCGAAACTGCGACCCCTGGTCAAGGCCTTACGTGATTCCGACAAACTCGTGCAGGAAGCAGCCACTGAGCTGGACTCGATGGAATGGGACGCGGGGAAGCTCTGTCGCGGGGGTGGTGATACACCGACACCTACGAACGGGCCACCATCCACCCTGCTGCCCACACAACCGGATCCACTCGATCAGCTGATCGCGTGCGCCCGTGCACTCACGGAAGACGTTCGTCAAGTCGCCAGTTTCATTCAGGTGAGCATCCACCCCCCACCGATCGGCCTCGAGAATTCTCCAAATTTTTGTTATCGATCCTTTTTATCCCCATTTCTCGAGGGAACGATCTTCAGATAGTTTCTATCGCGAGAATTCTTCAGATTTCTTCACAATTTTCAACACGTGCGCTCTGATTTTTAGGCCGATCGGTAGAGAAATTAAAACAGCGTTTTTGTGACAAAAATAGTAACAGCAAACCGATTGTGCAGTTATATAAAATGGGATGCGTAGATTAATTTTTATTTTTAAAACAGATTTGAATAGTTGAAAAAACGCCGAATTTTCCGGTTTTACAGATTTTTCTCCGTTCCTCGTTATCCGATCGAGACGTTCGAGGTCTCGTTCTGTAGGTATTTTCATCACCTGCATTTTATCTCATTGGAGCATTGATATTGCTGCATTAGTTTAAAATTGATAAGCAAAAAACGACAAAAATCACGAGTTTTTAGCATTAAATTGTAAATAACAAGAAAACGGAACAGAGTTGGGAGTGAAAAACATATACCTATTAATCTACGCATCCCCTTTTATGTAGTTGCACAATCGGTTTGCTGTTACTATTTTCGTCACACAAAAATGCTCTATTTCTTCGTTTGTTTGTTTCTTTGTTTCATAAGGTTTCGAAATCTGTTTGACATTACTGTACCCATTGCTCCATTCTTGCTTGTTACGATTCGCCAGTCTTGCACATATCTGTTTTTTTCTCCATATTACGTTCACATTGTTTCACATCAATCCTTGACTTTTTTCATTACTGTCTGTTGTTAGCTACAGCTCCTGAGGGCCCTTTACTTCGTTCACTTTTCTTATTATTATTAACTTGCAGTTATCGTAAAAATCACCAAATCATTCAACCTCCGCTTTATTTTTCCCCCTTTCCATCAAACGACGTAATTTCACGCGATCTAATGTTTACCAGGGTAACTCAACGCTGTTGTTCAAACGATCGTCGATCATTTCGACCGGCAGCAGCAACAACAGCGGCGCAGGTGACGATTACGATTACGTAAATCTCGACTCGAGGGAGGTGGTGGCGAAGCAACGCGAGGAGCTCAGAACGGCGCTGCCTCAGGAACTCCGTAGTAATTACGACCTGCTTATATCCGAGGCGGACAATGCGACGATTCAAATGCCACCCACGACACCGACACCCATGGATCCAAACGACAAACAATTGCTGGCTTTCTACGCCGCCCAGGTGATCACGCATGGCAACCACCTGACTCACGCCATCGACGCTTTCATGCAAACCGTCGCCCACAACCAACCGCCCAAGGCGAGTAACACCCCAGGAACTTTGACAATTTCACCCTTCAAAAAATCACTCTTCGACACTTACAGTATTTTTAACTTTAGGGTAGTTCCGTGTCAAATGGAACAATTCTTTCAATGATATTTCAGATTTTTATAAAATTCTTCATCTTCAACTGTTTGGGGATGTGTAGTGACATTTTATACTTTGATAAAATTGTTCATTTCGCAACTGTATTGCTACGTGGCAGTCGGATAAGAATGATAAATAGACTGTAATAAATATAGGCCAATCGGTAGAGAATTAAAAAACAGCGTTTTCGTGACAAAAATAGTAACAGCAAACCGATTGTGCAACTACATAAAAGGGGATGCGTAGATTAATAGGTATATGTTTTTCACTCCCAACTCTGTTCCGTTTTCTTGTTATTTACAATTTAATGCTAAAAACTCGTGATTTTTGTCGTTTTTTGCTTATCAATTTTAAACTAATGCAGCGATATCAATGCTCCAATGAGATAAAATGTACGCGATGAAAATACCTACAGAATGAGATCTCGAACGTTCTCGCATCCCATTTTATGTAACTGCACAATCGGTTTGCTGTTACTATTTTTGTCACACAAAAATGCTCTATTGATTGGCCTAATACAGTAGTTCCTCAATATAACACAAAGGTGTCCTTATATCGGGGACCAATTTTATTCCAAGAACCAACTACTAAAATCTATATGTATTTAGGTGGACTGGAAAGTAATTTCGTTTTTGCCATCTTAAATACTTGTTTATCATTTATCATTTATCATTTATCATTTATCGTTTATCAGCTCATTGATTTTTCTGTCATTGAAAATTTGCACACTAGGTGACAAAAGGCTGCTGACAATGAGAGCGATTATATAATGAATTAAAGATAGAAATTTATTGGAAAGTTTGAATTTAATGTGAAAGAAACGACATTACTTTTCGGTCTACCTAATATATCCTTACGATATCTCCACACAAATATTATGTGGACCACGTCTATAAAATTTCCGCAATCTTACTCTCACATATCAATGAGAATTCTACCGTGTTATTGATATCTTAATTCTATGATTATCAATGGATTCATGAAACACCCAAACACGATCTACTTCAATCCACTATTAATTATCCTCGATTCTAAATACTTTAAACAACATATGTATAATCAAGAACGCCCCAAATTAAGTCGTGTTTGGGCTAATTTTCATCCCAAAAACGCCTCCAATCCATCGATAATAATCTCGCAAAAATATATCACAAATTGCTCGAGTCCCAACTAGAATTATCCTAATTTTCCAATTCTTTCCACAGGTATTCCTAGCCCACGGCAAGTTCGTGGTGTTGAGCGCCCACAGGCTGGTGCACATCGGGGACACAGTCCACAGGAACGTGACCAGGAACGACGTGAGAACGCGCGTGCTGCAATGCGCGAACGCGCTGAACGAGGCCCTCGGCCAAACCGTGTCAAAGACGAAACACGCCGCTCAATTCTTCCCCAACGTATCCGCGGTTCAGGAGATGGTCGACAGCGTGGTGGACGTGTCCCACCTGGCCAAAGATCTCAAAGTCGCGATGATTCAGGCCGCGCATCAGCCTTGAACGTCCGAAGATCAGCTACCAATCTTCGTCGCGAAAGAAGCAAAACTTAGCCACTCCTTTCGTAACAGGACATTGTTTGCAAGTTCCTTGGATCCCGATGGTCGCCGTGATTTCTGTTTTAGGAAGTATCGTCGCTAGTATCCGCAGACGATTCGATAAAAAAAAAAAAAAAGAAAAGGGCAGCTAACCCAGACCTAAACCATTGGGCCCGATCGATAAACATCGGATTCTGACGGTAAAGGGAGACTGATGAGCAAAGGGATCGGTAAGCAATATTAACTCCCGCGATACAGAATCTGAGAGTCGAGTAGAGGCTAGAGAAACAAATTTGGACCACGGAAGAAACGCCGACCTCCCCCCATCCCATCCTTTTCGTTCGACTAACACGAAGCCTCCCCCTTCGATCGCAATAAAAAGTTCTCGAGGCCTATCGTTACTTAGAACTACGCAACTGCCAAAGCACAGGTATCTAGAATGTAAGGGAACCGATTTCGGGATAAGCGTCTTTGTAATGTACTTGAGAATATAGACAATGTAACCTTTTATAGGAAACGTGTAACCGTGTCGTTCTGTTAGCTAGAGGTGTGAAATAAATTAAACGACGTAACGAGATATCGTAGCATGTTATAGAACGTATTTGGAATGGCTCTTGACGCTTTGTCTACCAGCCTGTAGTAGACCGGTGTTTACAAGTTAAAAGGGAACATTCTGGATTGGTATACAAGGTGTTTTGTTCAACGATAAAGACTACCAAACCGCGTATATTGATCCATGCTTTTCATACTTCTTCCTGAAGGCACTCTATTATTAATTCTTTTGGGCACACTATTTGACGGCAATTATTGTAATAAAAGATTTCATTTAATCGAGGATATAGACGATGTATCAAATTCGATAGTTTTGGCGTCAAAGAAGAATGGTTAAAGGGTTGGTCGCAGTCAAGAAGAGGAAAAACGACACTTCTTTGTGATTTTTTTTCTTTTTTTTTTTAGTTATTAAATAATAATTTGCATAAGTAACAATTAAGTATATTATAAAGCATGTTTTAAAGAACTAAAAAGCCGATGACGTAAACGATGATTTAAAAACATAGGTTTGCGGTGAGCAAGATTTCTTTTCACTGGTTTACCTGAAAACAAAAACAAAGGTAGATTTCGAAAATAGATTAGTCTAGCGGGTCCCTGAACGAAGGATTTTGGAAAAAATTAATTTAAAACAAGATGGCGTACATTTGAAATTGATTTTCAATGTTTTCACTAAAATTAAGCGATTCAATAGACGATAAAAAAAAAGTATACAAGAAAATAAAAAATCCTTCGTTCAGGGACCTGTTAGTCTAATATATTTTCTAGATCTACCTTTAGTTTCGTCTTCAGGTGCATCAGTTTGAAGAAATCTTGAACATCGTAAACCAAATGGCCACCCACGCCATCGCCTGTTATGACGAAATGAATTAACCTTTTCTTAAAACAAAAATTCTTTTATAATTCTTTAAGACATACTTTGTAATATATTTCCATTTCATTGATAAAAATTATTATTTAATACCTTAAAAAAAACACACAAGAAACTGTCCGTTTCCAGTTTCCTGACTGCGACTAATCCCTTAAATGAGTCACGAGGGGATGAAGTAATCCAAAATGTTTTTACCAAAATTATATAGGGTACATAATTTTTGAAAAGTGAAGTAATTTTTACTTTAAATGATCCCTACGAAGAATTCCCCTTTGTAGCAAACAACCTCTGTAAAAACATTTTTTTGATTGTTTCATCCCCTCCCTCACAATGAGGTATTCAACTATTCCGCTATAAACGAAACACCCTGTATATTAATCTAGACAGTTGTTTCCTCAAATCGAGCACTGTAAGTAAACAACCAACACATTTGCTAGGTTTCCATAGGTGGACATTGGAATTAAAGTGGGTGTAGAAAGTATTCGTACACCCATCAATTTCCAAAAAAACTGTGTAAAATTGTAATTTGTCAACTTATTTTTTATAAACAATGACATTCTACATATTCTCGGAAATCTCTAGAATAGATAGATTACAACAAAAAAATAGCTATTTATGTAAGTTTGGAAATTAACAAGAAAAAAACCATTAATCGATAGAAATGTTGAAGCAATAAATTAGTGAAGTAATATTCGCACAACTGTTTAAAAGTACTTTACTGGAAATATGATGTTTACTAATTCGCACGGAGCAATAAACTAATGTGTTTACGTTACAAACTCTACTGTAAATGGTTCGTCATAAGAATCGTATAAATACTTATTGCTTCTATACTTTTACCCACTTTTCGCATTTTTTTTTGTTAATTTCACAAATTATATTAACTAGTAAATGTTGTTTGGTCTATATCTATCTTAGAGACTTCGGAGAATATGTAAAATATCATTGATTATAAAAACAGAAAGTTAAGAAACTACAATTTCACAGAAAAGTTTTTTGAGAAATTGATCGGTATACGAATACATTCTACACCCACTGTAAAAGTTCTACGACTAGGCTACCTGTAGACGAAGTGTCAAAATCGTCGATCGTCGTGTCGTCGGCTTGGATACGAGATTCATTTCAAATGTAATGCGCCGTTGTCGTTGCCAGCGTGTTTATTATTATCTTAAATGTGTATCGTATAGACGACAGTTTGCAGAGCAGAGACAAGTTTGTACGCGTGACCTTGACTAGACACATCTTCATTCGAAAGCGTGTTCGAGTACTACGGCCAAACGGATACACTGGTTAACTCTTTGGGGCACGGTGGGATTAAAAGTGTCCCACCTTTTTGATGGACCGTAATGCATGGTGGGACACTTTTAATCCCACCTCGAAATTTTGCAGTAGCTGCATGTGTATAGGTGTGATACCTTTATTAATAAAAATATAACAATTTTGTTTGATTTAAAACGCAATAAAATTCCTATGCCACATGGGTCTATTTTATGACCTGAATTTCTGCGCCGCAAAGAGTTAACAGTAGCCTAAAAATTGTCAAGAACCATTGCGCAAAAGAAGCTTCGCGAAAACGACTTATTGAAATATTTACACAAAGGTTTGACTACGTGCAACGCGAATCTGTCTTTGTACAGGCCGATTTTAAACAAATTTTTATACGATTTTATTGCCGGGGTACGACTTTTTCGTGCCAGGCCTTTTTACGGCTCTTCCAGAAACATCCAACCAATCACAAACGCACACCAAAGGATTGCGAAAAGGAAACATTCGATTTGTAAACCTTTTACAATCATTCCGATGATTATTCGACCGCATGGCGCTCTCCTTACAAGCGCAACGAAAACAATAACTTAAAGACAAACAGTACGACTTATACGCGTTCGTTTTCATCAATTATTGGTCGGCCAAAGTACCTGCCGATTGTTAAACTTTCGTAAACAGGATGAGTCGTCTAACACTTTAACCACTGGCCTATTTAAAAATATCCTAGACTTTGGAAGGACAACCTTCTACATTATTATACATTAAACTAGTTAACTTCTGCATACTGTTACGAAGTATACCGGAAGTCTTGTCTGTTTTCAAAAATCGAGCACTGTAAATAGGTAATCAACAACACAGTTAATAAATTCCACAAGATAATTACTGGAACTAAAAATAGGAATTATAAATAGGCTCCAGGTAGATAAAGTGTTAACAGCGTAGACTCCGGAAGCTTTCACGATCGGCAGGACTTGAATTTCCGTTAGGAATACACACGCATCGCATTTTACGGGGATACAGTGAAACTCTTTTTGTTTCACTGTCTCTCCTCGCTTACTTAGGTAATGAATTTTATTGATACGCTGCCTTTATATCTTGAGGGGTAATCGACAACCGCACATTTGTAACGCAGCTTTAAGATTGGTATATCATTTAAAGTATTAAACAATGGCCAATGTAAGTATTGGTACAGAGCATGCTCAAAGTAAAACTAATTGTAGACAACTGGTGTTATAAACATTGACAATTGCCATAATATAACTACCATATCAAGTATAATAAGAAACATAAAATTTGGTACATTCCATAACAAAATAATAACACAAGTATGTTTCGTATAGAAGATTTCCAATCGCTTTATTTCGTAATTATTCCGTAAGAGGACTTGAATATTTACAACACATTTGATGTGTGTTAATACTTGTATTTAGATTTAAACTTAAAATATACTTATATCATTATTTTGTTATCGCGCGTGTCAGCGTTTATTCTTTCTTATTACACTTGAATATAAGTTCATAAGAGCGATACCAAGCGAGATAATAAAGTTATACGATACTAAGCATCTACAACTAGTTTTGTGCCAATACTTACACTCCACACTGTATCTTTCGAAGCATTTACTTTTTCGCCTTTCGAGATAGTCTTTTGTCTCCTTGTTTTCAAGGAGACAGCTGGAGGATCGCTGAAACGAGAAGGCCGAGTATCGAGATACTTTCAGACGATCGTCCATATTTAGAGTATTTACCACGATAGCTTATAGTTTATTTTTTAGAGAGTATATAATCGAGCATATCGCGTGAACACCGAACCTCGTTTACGAGAATTGTATTATAATTTATTGGCGACGTGTTTTTGTAAGATAACGAGCATTCAAAGCAGTTAGAATTACTGTATATTTAGAATTTATACATAGTCGATACTAATAGGTGCTTATCTTTCTCGTTGAAACGTATTCTGATAATCGCGACGTAATATTAAACAATTTCTTTTTATGTCGAAACGTAAGACATAGATATACATTGTCGATCGAACGCTTAAGAAATCTTATCGTTTCGTGACATGTTCTTTAATTTACCCTTTGTACATTGTACCTGGAACTGTTTCGTGCTGAAATATTTTGCAATTTAGCAATGTTCTAATCGTGAAGGAATTTTACTAACTATTCATTAGTTTCGCGTACGACTTGAATTATTCGGGTAACGTTGTGTAAAATTATACTTTAATCAGCGCTTATAAATTTTATCGATCAGATCGACCAGACTACCTAACGATTCAATGGAAGTTCGACTTTGGATTAACGTGTCCATTGAACCGAATCGATCGTTACTTTAAGAGCGTTTAATGTGTACATAAGCATATACATACGTATGTATATTATAATTATTCCTATACAATGTATACATAAATACAATAATGTATCAACAAAGCAGTGAAACAAAAGCATTTAAAAAATCGTGCAATGTCAAATCTTAAGTTTTAAGCATTGAATTATACTCAAAGTTCGTAAAGTATTTACAAATAGAGAGAATAATTAGACTTGTTTTACATAACATAGACAACAAACTTTGGGAAATAAATGAATGCTAAAAGTGTTTTCCTCCAAAAAGTTGACATCATCTCGCACTTGATTTGCTTAATGAAATTTTAGGTGATAATTTTGTATACTGGCGCGTCATTTGTATATTATAGTTCAATGGTTCAGTAAAGATTAATTGAAAATATAGACAGGAAGCGTAAAGATCGTCATACTTCTTCTCGGCTTATTTTCTTTATTAAGATTTATGGGTCCTAAATAACATGGTATATCAATTAAATACACGCAATGAAACTTTTGTTACAAATGTTTAACTCAATTTGCATTGAAGTACATACAATAGTAAGAGTCTCTCTCCTACTCCCGGCGTAAGTATTAACACATACACCTCCTTGTTGCTGCATATAAAACATTTCATATGTCTCGGATAAGGCTTGAATAAATACAAATACTCTAGTATTTGCGAAATGTCCATGATAATGTACAGGTCAAACATTCAAGCCACGATGTTTGACTTACAATGTTTTCACACATTTCTCATGCAGATCCGTTTATGAAAAATACGTACAAGTGACATAGATTTAGATCCAAATGGTACAGAGCTAATAATGTAAGAAATCAATTGAAACCTAATTTTAGGTAGATACACCAAGCAGACTATGAACGATCACAGCATCTGCCAGTATGCGTGTGCGTGTTACCATCTTTGTTCACTTTTTCTTTCGCCGCATTTTTCTCCATGTGAAAGCTGCTAAGATCGCGTTTCATGGCATAAGCATCTTCTCCATCCGCGTAATATTTTGGTTCAACTTCCGACACTTCGAATTGCAAACTGCTCGTATATAAGTTTAAAGCTGCCCGATTACTTCTACGCACGTGCAGCGAAACATATTTCGCTCCAAAACATTCGACCATCGCTCTGGAAGCTTGATTCATAAGTTTCTGTGCGATACCAAGCCTTCTGTGAGACCTTTTTACTGCCAAACTCGTAATATGTCCATGCGGATTGTCCTCGCAATCTTCTTCCATCTTAGCAAGGACATAACCAACTATCCTGCCTTTTTCATCCTCTGCCACGTAACTTAGTTGCGGCCAAGAAAGAGCATGATACAAATAATACTTCATCTGATAATTCTCAGGCAAACATTGTAAATTACAATGCTGTATGTTCAACAGATCATCTGTTGTTGCACATCGTATATTTATAGACATTTTTGTGGATTAAAATCTTGTCTACACACAAATGAAAAATTGTTCCAATTGATTCCTTCCGTTTCCTTAGATATTGCTCAGTGGTCTTCCTGTTTTATATCTTCAGAGTCTCAATCCCTACGAATTTTCTTTATACGAGATCTACCATTTTTTAAATCGTTCACAGAAGAAGATTCACTCATTCCACCCAATAGTTCTCTGACAAAGCGGAATCGCGAAAGGAAAAATTTCCAAACTAAATACCAACCTGTGGAGAAATAAAAACATGTCTGTGAAGAAAAAGAATCGTGTAGCTTATATTAACAAATTACATTGCACATAAAGCTTGTATAATTTTGTCAAACATATTATCTAAAAGTCACAGAAAACATAATTTTTGATAAGGATAACAATTAACATAAATTAGATCAGTGTTTCTCAAACTAGGGTCCCTTATTAACAGAAGATTCTTATATAGAATACTACGGAATTAACATTTCTTTATAAAGTGTTACTAAAATATTATCGATGATAGCTTTATCAAATTAAGCTTACTTAATCTACTAAATTCTATTGGTGCAAGATATAGACTATTTTTATATTATTAACACCATATATTGGTCTGATCTGACGGTTCTAGAAGTAAAATGTACAAAATTCATGTTAGTTTCTGAATGTATTAATAGAATAAGAATTTAAATCTACTCTAGGAAATTGTCAATAATCCTTTATCTAGGATTAGTGGGAAGTTTGAGAAGCACTGAATTGGATAATAAGGGACCGATGCAAAAGAATGGGTATAACATAATTGCAGTTTATCGATGACGGTTCATTTCAAATACGATACAGGACAAAGAGAGAGTCTTTAGTTTCTCTAGCCGAGAATAGTCGACGAGATTGCGCGTATACACGTGACGATAGAGGTTAAGTACGTAGTCAAACTCTCCTACTATACCTTCAACTTGGAAACTATACGACTACTCGACAGCTCGGGTAAGAATGTTTCGGAACTCTCTGCGTACCGCGTAGCAATAACGGAACGTTACTATCTGTCGTTCTTACCCAGCAGCACCAGGCCAAATACTATGAGCAGACTCGATATCACGGAGAAGGCTGCTAGGACGATTTCTTGCATTATTAAATCCGTACCTCGACTACGAATATACTAACGAACTTCTTGAGGCGACGTACGCGGGAGTAGTGTCATAACCTCTTTCTGTTTCTTGCTATCCTGGCAAGAGAAATAAATTCACCAAATATAGAAACGCGAACGACAAATTTAACACGTATATACGTCAAGACGCAAAATCGCCTACGTTTTTTCGTTCACCGATAACACGCCATTTTGAATCGCGACAGACCTCGCATGAGTATAGGTTATGAATTTTTTTCCCCCTCCAATCAGTCACGTTAATGTTCCTCACAGTCGTTTAACAAAATGCATAATCATTCAGACAAATCATGTAACTTACCAAAGTTCAACGCCTTATGTCTCGTTCACCAATCATTATCGCGAGGACGGATCGTTGAAAATAGTAGAAGCGAACTAAAAACTTTTGAAAAGCAGCGACTAAAGCCAACAGGAAACATTCATACCCTGCGATATGTCTGCGCAATCGCATAATTTCCGGAAAGAAATGTTGAAGCGGTTTTATTTAAATTTTCCGAACTTTAGAAATATCTATGCTGATTGTCTTATCAATTTAATGTAGAAATATTTATAGCGATGTGTAGTATTTTATTGCTGCTATATACGAAGTACATTAATCAATAGAATGAAATATATGATATATTTGTATCGTAGAGCAATTAACTAAGCTAATAGTATATTCACAATATGGAGCATATATTCAATTTTCTTCTTCATCGAGTTCTTCCAAGTGATCCAATTTCAGTTGCTTTAAACGATCCACTTTTTCTACAAGTTTCTCCTTCTTGTTTCTCTTCTTCTTCTTTTGTTTTTGACCAACAATATATTCTGGCATAATAACTTTACTACTCCTAAATGTAGGTTTGTCGTCGTGATCGATAATAATTGGTGCGTTCTCTGTTTTCTCTGTGTCACTTTCAGGTTTTTTAAATTCAATCTCTGATGTTGCTTTAATTTTCCTGGGTTTGATTACTGTCTTAGTTTCATTGTGTTCATCCAAGGTTGTATTATCTACATCCATCTCTTCTGCTTCCACTGACTTTCTTGCTTGAACTTTCTTAGATTTACATGCTACCTTAGTCTGATCATGACTCTGATCAATCATAGAAATTTCATCGTAGTCCATCTCTTCTGTTCCTTCGATCTGTTCCATTGACCTTCTTGCTTTCAATTCGTTTAAAAATGATAAAGCAGCTGTTGTATTGCTTTGTTCCGTCATATCATCATTAGATACATCATCCAAACTATATTTCATCCATTTATGAGGATGCTTGTGATAGTCAGGTACACTTCTATTAACAGCACGTGGTGCTGGACCTTCTGGTCGTTTGAAAATACTCTCTTTACCACGAAATCTTTTTGTTTCATTTTTACGTTGCAGGCCAGTTCTTATACTTTTAGTTTTGTTTGACTCATCAATAGCCATGTCTACATCTGTGGACTCAGTCGTCATTTTATTCTTGTTGCACTCCTGCTCTGCATCTGACAGCTTATCAAACAGAAGCTTTTGTCTATTTGCAAACGCACTGTCACCACCATGAAGTTTAAAGTCTCCAGATGTATGCATTTTCTCAAATTATAATTTGAAGTACTTCTTTGTTAACGTATCGATGTGAAATACACACGTATTTGCAATATAAAAACTTTAAAGTACAGACAACATTATTAAAGTGGCACCATATATATGTTTACTAGAGTTATACTAGGTTAGATTATCCAACACTACTTCCTTAAACAACTCTTGAAAGCCCAATAGATTCCAAAATTGCTTACTGTCAATCTACAAATGTTTAACAGTTACGCATTTAACAAATATAACGATAGCGTTGACGTTAAACAATGTTCTATGTATGCCGCCATTTTGTATCGAAGGCGCCTATCGAAAAATGCATTATGCATTGTTATTTACCTACAATCTATTCAAGTTAACATACGTGCGATGTGCAAGCAAGAGTGTAAATTTACACAATTATACTTTATCAAATAAACAAACTCTTAAAACAAAACAACGTGACTTGAACGGAATACTCAGCTTTGTCTCAAATTGAGCAGTTTTACAAAATTTTTGTTCATTGTGCATTTACACTTTGGCGGGTTATTTCAACCTCGATTATTGTTCTATTAGAATATAATAATTTATATGAACAAATGAGGCTTAAATTAGTCATATTCTCCAGTTACATTGGTTGGTCAATGGTAGAAATTTATTCCGAAGTTTTGGACGGTTTTGGGTGGACACAGTGGCGCCATCGGTGGGAAAACGCCCAAGTTTGTAGTAAAAACAGTTCCCACTGTCTCTATAAGATGGTGCCACCGACAACCTTTAATAATTAATATTTTTTTTTTATAAATGCGTAATTAGAACGATTCTTTACTTTATAACACTATAATATATTCATTGATATGTCAATTGTATCATTCTTATGAATAATTAATTAATACATCAATAATTATGAACCCTTTAATTGGTGGCGCCATCTAGCAAAAGCAGTGGGAACTTTTTTCACTACAAACTTGGACGCCTTCTCACCGATGGCGCTGCTAACTCAAGAGTTGATAATTATTTATCAGAATGATAGAATTGACATATTAATGAATATATTATAGTGTTATAAGGCAAAGAATCGTTCTAATTACACATTCATGAAAAAAAGAATATTAATTAATAAAGGTTGTCGGTGGTGCCATCTTATAGAGACAGTGGGAACTGTTTTTACTACAAACTTGGGAGCTTTCCCATCGATGGCGCCACTATTTCTGTGTTTATTTTTTTAAAGCGAATGGGAACTGTAGTCCCATATTTCATTCTGATTTCACTACTATGTGTTTGCGTATCTTATGCCATAAGGCTTCTCGAACTTATATTTGTTTATTGTTACCCGGTCATAACTCAACCAAGAAAAATCGTGGCGAACCAGTTCTACTTCTATTATTTCTGCATTGTGTAAAAATACTATCAAAAATGAATTATATACAAGGTAGAATAAATAAAACGATTACGTTTGGTAACATGTTCATGTTCTTTTTAATAATCAATTGCAAAATGATTATCAGAGACAATCTGAACTTTTTCTCCTTAAAAGATATAAAAGACCAATTTTATTTCACTATAAAATGTTCAATTCTAGATAAATTTACGAATATGAATTTTTTTGTAAATTTAGGCAACATCACAAATCATTATACAATAGCTATTCAACAACTTTAGACATATATATACAAAATTCGTAAAATCAATGTAGGATTTATAAGCAGGATGAAACTAGAGGTAGTAAAATATAATTATTTAATTACTTTCTCTATATCGTTCAGTATAAATTTCTAGGTATACTGTAAACTATAGGTGAAAATATTAAGTATTAAATTTTGTATGTACTTTTTGTTACATCACAAGTGTTGTGATACTGAATGCAACTATACATATTTTTTGCTAAGAACCACACCTTTCATTCACCTTCTCTTAAAAAAAGCATGATTTTACGCATCATGAATTACACATTACAGTACATAATTGAAATTTCATTAAATGTTCGAAAATAGTTTTATACCATTTCTATAAAGGCAACGTTGTAAGGCTCTGAATTTCTAGACTCGGACAATACAGAGCTTATTTATGATAACTTGTTTGTTTAAATTTCATGCATATCCTCATAGTTCCTATCTTATGTTTTAATTCGCCCACTGCTTTCGTATAAAAAGTGTATAATTGAAGTAATAACAGTGGCAGTGAAAACATCAAATTAAATAATTGCAACATGTTACTAAAATTTTAAGATCGTATGGACGGAAATCGCTTTCCCATATAATATTTATATAATTAGTTTATGACAACATTGCTCGTATAAACTTATAAATAAAAGTTCCAACAATGAAGTGTAATGTACAACTGCCTTAAACAAATTAACATTAAACTCAGTGACTGACTATTTATGCAATACTTCAATGTGTTTGTTTCACTTCTAACAACTGAGGATAGTTTTCAACTATGTTCAATAAGATTCCATCAATGTACGCCCTTAATTGCGTATTAACCTCTTGCTGTTCCTTTAAAGCTTGTCTCATCTGTAATAGATAGTTTCAAATAATGATATGAAAAACAATTTAATCGCATAGAATGTTACATATACAACAAAATACATACTTCAGATATACTAGAAAGGTCACCATAGTCGCCAAGAATTTGACCATCCATCTATAATAAAAATCAAATAATAAGAAAATATAAAATATAAATTGATATTTACCGATTAGCAAATACAGTTATTATACAAATAAATGAGTATAACATACTTGATCTTGGTTCATCCCTGCTAATAATTCTACAGCGAGACTAGGTCCTTTCTCGGCGGTACTGTTACAGGGATTTAACATTAATAGTTCACGGCCTGCCTGCAGAGCCGCTGCAGCCTGCAATTCGTCTCGTGATTCCTCTAAACCTTAAAATAGAAAATGTAACACGTTTTAACAATAACAACAAATATTTGTTTTTCTTTCCTAATAATGAATAATAATACAAAATGCGACGTACTTTTATTATGAGCCTGGAGTTGAGCCACCTGTTGCATTAATTCCTCTATTCTTTGTTGATCCTCTATTCTCATTGAGAGCTCTTCTCTGGCAGCTTCCAACTGATGTTGGATTTCATTAGCTCGACATGTTGCTTGACGTTCACCCTCACGTGCAATTTCTACGTCCGTTCTAACTTCCTCGAGGTTATTTTCCAATCGACTTTTTTCTGCTCTTACTTTTTCAAGTTGCTCGCGCAACCTTACTACTTCTTCTCTCGTACTGGCACCTTCTAATTCTATAGATCGCAATTTTATGGCATAATTCTCTAGTTGCAATTGTCGTTCACGTTCTAAACGACTTGCCCATTCCCTATGTCTTCGTTGCTCTGCCTAGAATATCATTATTTAGATTATATCAAAATATCTTATAAATTTAAATTATTTTTTGTAATTCATGAAAACTTAATTGCATGCATGCATGCATTCATTCAAGTGGTTTATTAATCTTACTTGAAGCCTTTCTTCAGCTCTAGTCTCGGCGTCTTTGGCAGCTTCTTCTAACATTAATATTCTTGCTTGCAACGTAGCATTTTCCTGTTTCGCTCTTGCATATCGCTCCTCCCCAACTGATTGAGTGTCCACTAAGGCATGCATTTGTTCTTGAATCATTTGAACCTAGAAGAACATTACAAAGTTTTAAAACATTTATTTTGATCTCCCAACTATTGATTAAAACAATACTTTTTTAATTATATTTGTCATGTTTTGACTAGATAAGACAATGATATGAATCTATTAAACCACGTATCTCTTGTTAGATTTAACATGAAAGTACAAATAAAGATGGTGAAGGTGTCGACTGGTAGCTTTTCGTTTAAAACTTTGTGCACGTGTATTTTGCTTCGCGATGTCAATACCAGTGACGCTCAACATGTAAAGTTCCATGAAAGTTATGTTTCTATATTATTAATATTATGCCTACATACGAAACTTGAAATTTATGTTTCATGTAGCAGTATTTTGATCAAGTTTCCCAGAAATTTAAAATTAGTTCGTACCATATAATCAATGAGCACCACTGCTTTCAACGGTAGAATAGCGAACATAAATAAGCAGTAATTTACTTTACCGTAAAATTTAGATTTGCATATTTTCTATGTACAAAAGTTGCAAGTATTGCTTCGATTTATCAATAAAATCAACCCATTCGCACAACAGTAGTCGCGAGAGCACGCTGGGGCCTCACACGGGGCCAGATGTGTAAAGTAAAGCAAAAACAGTTACGCGAATATCGCCTGAGGGGGGAAATTATATTCTTTCATAATTGTATAAAATTTCATAATCAAGTTTAATTAGATCATAATAAATTAGCCAATATTATATCTTCGTCGCTAGCAATTCCTATTGTGATTCGTGTAAGTACATTATTTTGTTCAAAATAGTTCGTCGTAATATGAAAATCTTTTTTGCTGTTGTAACTATTTATTTCCAATTTCAGTTAATTTTGGTTAGCTGCATGCACTTGGTTATTCAATTCTACTTTTCATCTAATTAAAAAAAAAATTAAAAAGTAAAATTTCCTTATATTTACTATTTACTTATTTTATTATTATTATTATTATTATTATTATATTATGTACTTATATTTACTAAATACGATTATCATATCTGATGACGATAAGTGTTAATACTTTACCGACAGGTAGCCTATTAATCGACTTTTTAGCTATGATAACCAATACTTTGTTATCCATTATTGAAGTGACATTTAATTCTCCCATCATTCATGTTATATGAATTACGAAATAGAATAAAAATAAAGATTGAATAATACTAGTCTTGTCAAAATAAAAAATATATTAGAACCGAATTAAATGCCCAATTGCTACCAGTCGGTAAATTTTCGTACAAACTCATATGGTAACTCAAAATTATTAACGAGTAATGGTCATAAGATATAAATTTGTATTAGGCTGTCCCAAAAATTTCTTTCGCTTTATTAATAAGTAATACATGCACAATATTTTATGTTTCATGTTACATTACTGAATTGTGCACGATTCATTTTGCTCCATTACTGTTACACCATCGATATCTATGAAATAAGATTGTCTATTTATATAAACACTGCCACGCAGGGCCGACGTGACCTTTTGCGGGGCCCGGTTCAAACATTTTGCGGGGCCTGAATTCACATTCAAATCCTACACTTCAATTTTACAACGAGGAATTATTTATTTACAAATGCTATGTATTTTTTATAAGATGAATATTAAATAATAATACTTTGATGATTTTTGTCACTCCTTTCAATTTAATCATTGCTACTAAAAAAATGTCTTGCATCTTAGCAAAAATTGCTTCCATTTGTTAATAGTATCATCATTCTGTAAAAAGTTAATCAAAATTGGTGCCTTTTAATTGAGTAATTTTCGTAGACCGCGGGGCCGGGTTCCGGCGAACGCGCTGAACCTGCCTTGCGCCGGCCCTGCTGGCACGCGAAATAATTGAGTGCAACTCGCGAAAGAAACTTTTGGGACAACCTAATAGTTTGAATTATCGGGTGTAGAAATTAATTCTACCTATATAGATTCATTGTAGAGATGAATTCAGGCAGAAGACTTAAATCGAGGACTTGAAAGATTAATATTTTAATACAATAAAATACCCACACTAAACCTACCATTTGTATGCAATATACGAATTATATACCATTGTTTCATGTATTATTCAATTCAGTCCGACGCAATGGGTGCGCAGGACCCAGAGCCAAACTCCGAGTTGACTTCAGCGACAGTTGCAGAAAAAGTAGGAAACTCCGGGAC